CTCTGGGCTGGGCACACCGGGGTCCCCCCAGCACGGGCTGCTGCGCTTGGCTTTGGCCCCCCCGCGGCCCCCTGAGCCCGCATCAAAGGCAAAGGCCACTCTTGCCTAGGGTCACTCTTACGTGTGGTTGACGATGTGGCCATGCTGCGTTTCTCGGGGGACGATTATTAACATAAACATAGAAGCTCAGAGGTCCGCGCGGATTTCTCGGATCGGCGCTGGGGCACCCCTGGCGGCGCCTCCGGCGCCGCCCCTGGCGCGCTCCGCGCGCCAGCCAGGGAGAGGGGTCCAGCGCCGATTCGAGAAATACCTTTGAGTTTTGTGCTTATGTCATTGTTTGTTCCCCGAGCTTCGGGCTTCGACCCCGCATGATATTGTCGTGTTATCCTCTGTAGCGGTCGTTACCCTGGCCAAGCACCTCACCTACCCCCCCTGGGTAAGGGTGGTGATCGTGCGTGGGGGGGGGCCTGGGTCCTACCCCAAATGCTGGTGTTCGTTCGCATGTTTTGGCGATCGCATCGTACCCCCGTCCGGACGTGCCCCACCCTCTCCAAGCGTTACTGTTACCTGGGGCCCCACTCCCCGCCCCCTCCCGAAATGATTTCTCGACGCGGGGATCCCCATATGTGCGCCTCATACTCCTATCGCGTATCGCTGAGGAACTTTGTCTGTGATCATCTGGGTGTGAGAGCGGGTCCGCGCAGACCACGGGCGCGACGACGACGACGACGACTTTAATGACGTCCTCCTCTGGAGATCTGGCAGGAGAGATGAGGGAAGCACAATTCAGGAGGGAAAAAGGCACACAGACACAGTTAATCGTCGATTCCCCAGCAAATATGGGAAAATGTGGGAAGTGGGGGGGAAGACAAAAGCCCAGAAAATATGGGAAAACATGGGGAATCCTGTTATTTGTGTCTGCTTATTCGTGTGTCCCAGGGCCCCTCCACAGCTGGAAGACCGAGGTACGATTCTTCTTGCCGCTGTCACCTGCGGCAACCCAGGCGCAAGAGCGCATGGCCTCGAGAGGCAGTCTTTCGCTCGTCTCTCCAGAGGCCCAGGGCGAGCCTTGTTTTCAGTCGGGCCTGTCCCTCTACAGGAGGAATGTTCAAAAATAGTCAAGAAGTAATCTGGGGACGACCTTCCCATCATTTTTTGACAATTTTTGGGTATTTTTGACATTTTTTTCCCGTCCAAAATCCCGCTGTAGGGGGACATGCCCGACCTAAGCCTTGCTCTTTATCGAAAGAGTCGCCGTCGGGACCCGCCGTCGGGCGAGACCGTCCGCCATTGGCCTCGGGGCGGGCGCCGCTGTTCGCGAGCAGAGCTGGGAAGAAGGTGCCGTCCGCACTTGGCATCGGGCCGGCAGCTCGGGGCCGCCCTCGCAAGGGCGGTCCGACGTGAGAGGGTGCAGGACAGCCGGCTTTGCCGCCAGGCATCGTCCTTGAGGCATCTGCCTCGCAACGGGGGCAGGCGTGCAGACTCAGCAGATGCACGCAAACCGTCGTTGCCGCCAGGCTGTGCCCACAGGAGACGAGATACGAGACCAGGGAGATGTGAGTGTGCAGGACCGCTGGCCTTGCCGCCAGGCTGTGTCCTTGAGGCAACAGCCTCGCGACGGGGGTTGGCGTGCATAGTCAAACTGTGGACGCACGGCGGCTGGCACTGCCGCCAGCCAGCGTTGCAAAGAGTACGAACCCTGGCAACGGTCCGACGTGAGAGGGTGCAGGACAGCCGGCTTTGCCGCCAGGCATTGTCCGTGAGGCATCTGCCTCGCAGCGGGGGCAGGCGTCCAGAACCAGCAGATGCACGCAAACCGTCGTTGCCGCCAGGCAAACGCCCACTGGAAACGAGGTGCGAGAACCAGGGAGAAGTGAGTGTGCAGGACCGCTGGCCTTGCCGCCAGGCTGTGTCCTTGAGGTAACAGCCTCGCGACGGGGGCAGGCGTGCAAAAAGTGCGGATGCACGATGGCGTCGCCGCCAGCCAGTGCCCTCAGGAGAAGAGGTGCGAGAACCAGGGAGAAGTGAGTGTGCAGGACCGCTGGCCTTGCCGCCAGGCTGTGCCCTCGAGGCGACTGCCCCGCGACGACTGCTACCGCGCAGGGTCTGCGGAGGCACGCCAGCTGGCACCGCCGCCCCTGCCTCGGGCACCGGGGTCGGGTGCCCGTGAGTCCGTCGGCGCGGATGGGCATCCGGGCCCGGGCGGCCCTGCCTCCTTGGGAACGGCCGTGACTGCCCTGGCTGTGGTGGCAAAAAGACCTGGGCCACCGTGGCCCGACCATTCACTGGAGAAGGGGCCACCTAGGGGTGTTCCTCGAGATCAAGGGCCTCGTAGTGGCGCCCCGTGCGTCCCCTGGGCGTTTCCCCTCACCCAGTATCGAATGACTTCGGCACGGGGAGCAGGAGCAGGAGGAGGAGGAAGAGGAGGAGGAAAAGGAGGAGGAGGAGGAGGAAGAGGAGGAAGAGGACGAGGAAGAGGAGGAGGAGGAGGAGGAGGAGGAGGAAAAGGAGGAGGAGGAGGACTGGTGAGTTAAAGAAATGGGACGGACGAGGGTGACGACGACGACGACGACATTCAACAGCAGGAAGGGGAGTGGGAGTAGAGGGGGTGAGGAGAACGAGTCGAGCAGGAGGGGTAGGAGGAGTAGGAATAGGAGCAGGAGCAGGAGCAGGAGGAGGAGAAGGAGGATGATGAGGAGGAGGAGATGGAGGATGGGATCGAAAAGGGTGATTTTTAGAGGGGGCTATGGTGAAATGGAATAGAAGGGGGGAGAGGGGCGGGAAGGATGATGAGCCAGGTGGGGATAAGGAGGAGGAGGAGGCGGCGGAGGTGGAGGAGGGCCACTGTAAACCGAGGACGCATCAGTTTTGTTACAATAAATCCTCACTACAAGTTTCCTCTTCATATGTCCATACAAGATGCTGTTTACCTTGTGGGAAATGTCCCATTGGAAGACAATCGTCTGAGACCTCAATCGAGCCATAACATCATTCCTGAGACTTGAGCGCCGAGAGTCAATATGACTGTTGCGCCCTGACAGTCTTAATCCGCTCCAGAAAGCAATTCCTGGGACTTGTCAACGTAGCTGTTGCGTCCCGACAGTCCTAGATCGAGCCATAACAATATTCCTGGGACTTCAGTCATGCGAATCCGCGAAATTTTCGTGCACATTGAAAACTAATGTGTGCGGCGCTAATGCGACAGGCACACATTGACCATGAGCCGCCTTCCACCTTTAATATTGTTGCAAACTTTTAAAAAGAATGTGCGCGGCGCTGAGGCGATAACCACATTTTGGAAAGGAGTCGCCCTACATCTGTTGCGAACTTTTGAGGCGAATGTGCGCGTCGCTAACGCGAGAGGCACATTCTGAAAACTGCCCGCCCTCCATCCGTGAAGCTGTTGCAGAATTTCCGGCTTCAGGATCATAAGTGGTGAGGAAGTCTCAGTGAAAACGCTTGGTCCGCCTTACGGACACGTGTGGGTGTGCGACAAAGAGGAGTTATTGCGTGGAAAAAGGGATTATAGGGAGAAGGGTGACGAATCGCACACGACGCGCGATTGCCATCTAATTTGGGAATGTTGCTGTCATCGCCCACGTCCTCGGCCTTTCTCACCATATATCTCTCTCGCTCTCTCTTTCTCTCTTTTTTTTGTTCTTTCCTTTCGTTCTGTCTCTCTGCCTCGCTCTTTTGTTGGCCAGTTGACTGGCTGGGCACGGGCCTGCAGGGCAAGGGGCGGCACATGTCAACCGAGGAGCACGCGCGCAGCCATTTTGGCTTTAGGACCGACCTCGGCTGTCCGGATGGACGGGGGTCTGTGCGGGCTGCTTTCCGTGAAGGCGTGCGCCATCCAGGAGAAGGCGTTTCCGCCGCGCCGCCTCTTTGGGTCGGCGGTGCGCTGGTGGAGTGGGGCGGAGCGGCGATGCAACATCTAGCGCCCTCGTGCCTGCCTTGTGGGGTGGCTTTCTCCTCCTGCTCCTTCTCTTGGCCCTCGGCCGCCTCATCGTCGTCCTCGTGCTCAATCGCCCCCTTCGGTGGCCCTGCTCAGGGACCTCGGGCAGTTCTCGCCCCATTTCACCGGCAGGCTCAGGGGCCGACTGGGCCTTTCATTGAAGGTGCATATCAGGTGGATCGGCTCATGAGGCCGAGGAAGAGGAGAAGGATGATGATGATGATGATGATGATGATGATGATGATGATGATGATGATGATGATGATGATGGTGATGGTGATGATGATGATGATGATGATGATGGTGGTGGTGGTGGTGGTGGTGATGATGATGATGATGATGATGATGATGATGAGGAGGAGGAGGAGGAGGAGGAGGAATAGGAGGACAACGACGACGTCGACGACGACGGGGATGATCACGACGACGACGACGACGACGTGAGGGCGTGGGCTAAACAAAGAGGGGGTGGAGAGGAGCGTGGGAAGGAGGAGGCACGAGGATGCGGAGTAGGATGAGGACGGCAAGGGGAGGAAGCCAAGGAGGCGGAAGGGCACGAATGGATGAGGATGAAGAAGAGGATTGATCTCGAACGATTGACCCAGGAAGGGAAGGATCTTATACAGTCAACCCGCATAGTAAGGATGAGCAATTTTCCAAGGTTGCCCTTGCATCCTTGCCCCTTGGGCCCATCCTTGGCAATTTTTGCTGGCCAGCCCCGTTCGAAAACGCCGACATGTTCTTCCGAGGCCCTTGCATCCCCAGCGCGCATCCTCATTATGCGGCTTGACTGTATTCGGATAATTTTGGAGGGGGGGGACCTCCAGCTTTCGATAGGCTACGCTCGCAGTCAGTTTGGTGATGATGCTGGTGACAAAAGGATCCGGTCAGTTGCTCGTGCCCTGCCAATCGCGATGCTCTGACTATCAGCAAGTCGTGGCACCTGCGACGCCCATGATCATGACAAGCAGTTCGTCTGCTTGAGCGTCTATCCTTACGATGCCGGGGTAGTTTTTTCGAGCATGGTAACTCGGAGGGGTGAAGTGGCAGGCACTGTTGATACAAAAAACCGTTTTGCTCAAGCTGCCGTCAAGATGTAGTCTTGGCGCCATACCCAGGCAGTCTGCCGAACAGGGTTGAGCTTCAGGGTGGTACTGTCCCTGTGCCATGAGTGTCGGGACCCTGGGTGAGGGACTGCTCACACAGAGCCAGGTAGCACTGCTTGATGAGCTTACTTCCGCAATCGGGACTGCAGACGGTAGCTGCGGCGGAGCAGAGAAGGACGCCGGAGTGGACCACGAGGGTTTTTACCAGCACTGGCGGCATGTCAAGGCACACCACCGCTTGCTAGAGGAGAAGGAGAGACGCTCTCGATGGAGTTGGGTAGATCAGGTTCAGGAAGTTTGCGACGCTTCCTGCGATGTGCTGAGCGGCCTTCTCGCTCACCTTGAATCCCTCGACAGCCAACGGAAAGACGTGGAGCGGAAAACAACCGCATTGCATGAGCAATGTGTGCAAATGGTCCAAGACCAGGAGCAGTTGAGCAGCACCGCCGAGGCGTTGGCTGAGAGGCTTGATTTTTTCGATAGGGTGGCGGATGTTGCCCGGGTCCTTGACCAAGGCGCTTTGGCTGTCTCTTCCACTGATTCTCAGGAAGATCTTGCTTTTGTGCTCGACCAGTTAGATGGTTCGATCGAGTTCTTGGAGGCGCACACCGATTTCTGTCAGGCGCAAGCTTACCTCAATCAGTTTGAGCATTTGCGCAATCGCGCATGCATATCGGTGCGCTCAGCTCTCCAGAAAAGCCTGGAGAGGTCGATTGTTGTGGTCGAGCAGCAGGTCAAGGAGAAGATGGGTGATGATTCCGCCGACATGAAGGTGTTCTACGCCCGCTTTCTCAGCGAAGGGGCGAAGTACAAGCCTTTAACGGCCCTGCTGCAAAGAAGGGTGGACGTTCACGAAACATATTCCGCCGAGCTTGAGCAGCTGGAAGCTTTCTACGTTCACCTGCGCGTCCGGTTAGTGACCGCACCTGTCATAGCACATTTGCAGTCGATCATGCCGAAGGATCTGGAGATATCACAGCTGGCATCTGCAACACGGCAAGCTGCTGGCTACACTCTCGAGGTGTCGTGCAAGGATTGTTTGCCGCAAACAAGTAACGGATCATCGTTTTGAGGTTCAGGGGGTTCGTCGAGTAGTCATTGTGTAGAAGCTGCTCTGTTCGGCCACAGGCAGACGGGGAGATTTTGGGAATTTTTGGTCACCTCACGTATGAACTAACAGCGGGAAGCAGCGGGCAACCACCCCCCCAACCCCCTAACCCATGTCTTCCTGCTCGCGCATCCGAGAGAAGCTCTTCTTGGTTCGTAATGAGTTGCCCCTGTGCGGCCGGATTCTGCACGTTCTCAGCTGTTTTCGCCCCAGTGGCGCTTGCATCCGATCGCGGGGCCCTATCGCTGGGGTCGCACAATATAGGGCTCCGGACGGCCACGTCACACACACACACGAGTGTTCCGCACGATCGGGTCCTGAATTATGGGCCCCCTTTCGAAAAAACCCAGGCGATAAGGTCCCACTCTAGAAGGCCCCATGGGTCCTTCACGATAGGATCCTCCTCGATGGAGTCTCACTAGGATAGGGTGCCACAAGATATGGCCCCACACGATAGGGCCCCACATGATAGGGTCCCACACGATAGGGCATCACATGATGGGGTTCCACATGATGGGGTACCACACGATGGGCATTACACGATGGCCCATCTATTGAGACTTAGGGGCAGCCACGTGTTAGATTAAGCCTTCTCCACCCTTCTCGGCCTCGCTCATCCTGCTCGGCTATCCTCGCCCCCTGGCCACAATCATCATCCACCTTCCTCTTCATCCTCCTGTACCCTCCCACATCAACCTACTGACATCATCCTCATTGCCATTCCTCTATCATCTGTGCTTCCTCTTCTCCTCACTGAACATCCAGATGATTGCTCCCGCTAATCTTCCCTCTTCCTCGGTCATCGGAACTATCCATCCTCCACCCGCATCGGGAGGGGGGTGGGGGCGAATGCTGTTTTCATTCATGAGCGGCATGTGCGTGCCCAGGCTCGTACACTAAGCAAGCAGGGGGTGTACCCAACAACATTGAGAACATGTTCTTCGAAATATGGTGCACCTGTCATGGGGCGCGCAAAACCATTCAGTCACCAGTGTGTTTGTGTCTGCACCCAGTAACTTTGTAAAACGAACATGCCTGAACACCACTGTATCAGTGACCGCGTTAAGCACTTGGGTTGGACAAGCATGCTTAGACCAGTGGTTCAACACATTGTCTCGAGAAGAATCGATTTGAAATGTCGGTAGGCACAGTTCGTTGTCATGCATCAGGTGTATCGTTTGAATCTCACACCTGAAAGAATCGAGCCATCAGCTTAGGTCCAATAGTCAGATACAACATCGTTTATAGACATGACGCATTCGAGCACATCGAACAAGCCATGCTGGACAACATCTCAAATACTGAGGACCTCCCACGCGAATCCCTGCAAAACAACACCAGTAATCTGCTTTGAGCTCAAGTCCCTCGGAGAGGTGCGCATGACAATACCTGTTGATGCTAAAGGGGAGAGGGGGGCTAGGGGTTTCTGGGATATTTGGCAGGGCTCCGCCAAGGCTTCTCCGGGGCGGGAAGTTGCCAGCTGCACTCCGGAGGCGATTGTTAGGGCTGCAAGATCGGAGGTGGATAGACCTCCTACACTGACGCGTCGATTCGCATCAGGAGGTCGCGGCCGTCATTTTTGCGGGTCCGGGTCCGTCGGCTTTGGTCCTAGGCCGTTTTCACTAAAGGGTGGTTTACTAAAGGGAGGTTTGTCCACCGCCGACGGGAGTCACTCTGTCTCCCTCCGCTTCTCAGAGCACTCTTTGTCTGCGGCAGGCTGTGCGTATCGAGGGCCACGTCCTTGGAAGCCAAGCCCTGAGTCTCGAGTGTACTGCCCACGGTCCAGGGATTACAGTCAGGCCGCTGGAATATGGACCTCGGGCCCAGGAGACGCTAGAATTCTCGGGCCGTTCCTTAGGTCTAGGTTTGGGACCCTATTTGTGGCGCCGCGGCCGGAAAAGCTCGTTCGTTCCTTCTGTGGCGTTCCTCATGGTAGCACGGTGACTGTACGCAGCCACAGGAGCGGGACTGCTTCGAGGCGTACTTCGAGATTCGTCAGCCCCAAGAGGCTCTTCGCACCCTCCTGGAAGCCGTGGCCGACATCTTCTACAGAGCGTTGAGGCCTATGATTCTTCATTGCGACGATATCGACCCACTGCGTGAGATCACCGACTGCTTACAACTAGATATATTAGAGCCTCAGCAGGAGTCTGGCAAGGCTGACATGATGCCAGTACTCAGCGTGGTGTTCCGGCTGCTCAAGGATGTTCAAGAAAAGTTGATATTCCAAGTGGAAATGTACATCCGCATGGAGATCCAGGGGTACGAAGTGGTTACTTCGGATTTGGACTATCCTGCCATTCTGTGCACTGCGGATCCAGCCGACGTCGGGACAACAGAGGATGACGGCGATGCGCAGGCTCCGAGCTCATTTCAGCACGGGTGGTTCCCCACCATGGAGCGGACGCTGGCCATCTTGGCCAAGATCTACCGCAGGCTCGAGCTGTCAACTTTTCAAGGACTGGCGCAGGAAGCCGTGGATATCTGCATCAACTCCCTGAAGCATGCATCCGGCCTCCTCGCGCAGCGTCCTGAGCGGTCGCACGCCATGGCCCCTCTGGTGCTGATGATGGACTCCCAGCTGTTCCTGATCAAGCACCTGCTTATACTCCGGGAGCAGGTCGCTGGCTTCGAGTGCGACCTCGTCGTCAGCGAGAAGTACTTCAACTTCTCCAACGTGTGGGAGGCGCTCAACCTGAAGCTTCCGGATGGGCTCCTCGGCATCCTGAAGCCGAAGATGCAACAGTCGCAGGTTGATAGCAAGAAGGACATCGAGGCCGAGTTGAAGGCAGCATGCGAGACATTGATCACGCACTTGACTGCTCACATCACGCAGCCGTTGGCGGCCTTCAACCAGCAGATAATGGACTTCCTGGCTGGACCCGGTCGCAACAACAGGGCTTCATTGAAGGAGCAGGCCTTCATGTCTCAAGAGAAGCTGCGCGGTATCGTACACGACTTCCTTTCCAATGTCCGCGAACGTATCCCGTTCGCAGTTGCGCACATTCGCTTGTACCTTACGCATGCGGGTGCCAGCCGCAGCGATAAAAGAGGAGACATCAGCCATAACACAATCTCCATCTTGTTCAAGCCGGTGCAGATTCGCTTGGTCGACACGTGGGGTCGCCTGGAGGGTCTGCTCGAGGAGCAGGAGATGACCTCGGCCGAAATCGACGCCCTGGGCTTCCTGCGGCCCGACGCGCTGAGGGATCTCGTCTCCTCGCTCTTCAGCCAGGTGCCGGCGGCGAGAAAAGGGGGGCTGGGTCCCCCTTCGGAGAGGGCAGCGGGCTCTCCCTCGCGTTTCAGCGGCTGCGGGGGCCCTGTTGAACGGCTGCCACCCGCCACACATCCTGCGCCGTGAGGGAGGGCACAACACGACGCGGGGCCAAAACACTGGCAGGGTTGCCGCCCCCACCTTCGCACTTGATGATGTCTTGATCTCGAGCGGTCCGCGAGGGTCCCAGGGCCAGAAGCGATGCAACGCCATCGGGCGTGAGGGCGCGCCCCCCCCAGAATCTGCTGCTGACCTCCGACCATGTTCGACCCCCGTCTAGCATCCTCGGAAACCAGAGAGATCACAGGAACACACGTGTATGTGTTTGATCGGCGTCACCCCAACAGTTACTGATACTGTGTGTGCGTCGCGCCCCCAGGGGCGACGCGTGCACCGAGAAGTCTTGCAGTGTGTGCGTCGTGGCGGGCGCTTTCTGGCAATAACGTTCGGGTTACGATATAATACTACTGATCGGGTCGAACGCGCGCCTCCCAGAAGGACATAAAGTACTAGGATGTCTCTGTGCGCCCCATTGGAGAAGCGCCTGCCAGCCTTCCGAAGCCGTGGGGCCGCCGCCGAAGGTGATGGAGATGCCCTGGCAGCAGCTCGTCGAGACCATCTCCCAGGCGCCTTGGGCCGCTGCCCCGAGGAGGAGGAGGAGCATGAGCAGGGGGAGGAGGAGGACTCTTCTCTTCTCGTCTCGTCTCTTCTCTTCTCTTCTCTTCTCTTCTCTTCTCTTCTCTTCTCTTCTCTTCTCTTCTCTTCTCTTCTCTTCTCTTCTCTTTTTCTTCTCTTCTCTTCAAGTATCTTCTCTTCTCTTCTCTTCTCTTCTCTTCTCTTCTTCTTCTCTTCTTCTCGTCTCTTCTCTTCTCTTCTCTCTTCTCTTCTCTTCTTCTTCTCTTCTTCTCATCTCTTCTCTTCCTCTTACATCTCTTCTCTTCTCTCCTTACCTCTTCTCCTCTCTTCTCTCTCTCTTCTCTTCTCTTCTCTTCTCTTCTCTTCTCCTTTCTCTTCCTCTTCTCTTCTCTTCTCTTCTCCTCTCTTCTCCTCTCCTCTCTTCTCTTCTCTTCTCTTCTCTTCTCTTCTCTTCCCTTCTCTTCTCTTCTCTTCTCTCCCCTCCTCTTCTCTTCTCTTCTCTTCTCTTATCTTCTCTTCTCTTCTCTTCTCTTCTCTTCACTTCTCTTCTCTTCTCTTCGCTTCGCTTCGCTTCGCTTCTCTTCTCTTCTCTTCTCTTCTCTTCTCTTCTCTTCTCTTCTCTTCTCTTCTCTTCTCTTCTCTTCTCTTCTCTTCTCTTCTCTTCTCTTCTCTTCTCTTCTCTTCTCTTCTCTTCTCTTCTCTTCTCTTCTCTTCTCTTCTATTCTCTTCTCTTCTCTTCTCTCCTCTTCTCTTCTCTTCTCTTCTCTTCTCGTCTCGTCTCGTCTCGTCTCTTCGCTTCGCTTCGCTTTGCTTCGCTTCACGTCTCTTGTCTTCGCTTCTGTTCGCTTCTCTTCGCTTCTCTTATCCTATCTTCTCTTGTATTCTCTTCTCTTCTCTTCTCTTCTCTTGTCTTCTGTTCTCTTCTCGTCTCTTCTATTATATTCTCTTCTCCGCTCATCTCTTGTCTTCTCTTCTCTTTGTTTATCTTTTCTTCCCTTCTCTTCTCTTCTCTTGTCTTCTGTTCTCGTCTCTTCTCTTCTCTTCTCTTCTCTTCTCTTCTCTTCTCTTCTCCTTTCTTCTCTTCTCTTCTCTTCTCT